AGCCACGTATAATTATTTTTTGTGTGAGAAAATACAATGATGCTATAATTATTGGTCATGCTTCACAACATTTAAAACAACTATTATTGCGGAGACATCCACTAAATTTCCAGCCTCTGTATTGTCTTTCCCACGTGTGAATGACATTTTGGAGCGCTGTCAACTGCAGTGTGAAGCTGCTAGAATTTCACGTCGTAAAGCCGATGCCAGAGCCTTTTCCCTTCTTCCTGCAAGCCCACATAGCGGTGCCAGTTACTATGTCTCTTTACACATTTCATACTGTCAAGGTTTGTGTGCAACCTGGAAAGTGGAAACTAGCTCACTTGACTAACTTGCTTCCTCTGGGAAAATGTGAGGCGGTTCACCCAGCTCACAGACATTAGTGCTGTTTTTGTTGTTTCTCCGACACCTGCTGAGCCGTCGATGCCGACTGCCTCTGTTGTCTCTCGTTCGTGGGTCAAGATAGTGGTGATAGTGAGACACCAAGCAGGACTCACAGAAATACGCAGATAACCTCAGCCCTCCATACCTTGTGAATCGAATCACAAACACGACAGCGACTCTGAGTGACATGCTGAGTGTTTAGATCATGTCAGCGGCTCACTTGGTCAGCAGCCTTTTGTGAGCCTTGGACTTGAAATGATGTTGTGACAAATGTTGTGCTGCTACATGCACAGGTGATTTGTCCATAGACGAATACAGTTTCTAGTCTTAATTTTACATAATTAGTATTTGTTTGGTATTTTTAAAGGAAGTCCATTTCCATGTGTATAAAGAATGAAAATACCTATAAATATAGTTAAATAATGTCATAGTACAAGTGATCAAGCTGGATTCTGAAGAAAAGGCCATTATTCAATGATTTATATGTAACTTTACATAAAAATCTTGCATATTTGATAAATCTTTCGTGCAAAAAGTATGTCCACTCATAAAACAAATTGATTTACTTTTGAAATAAAGCATCATTAATAAACTTGATTATAATTACAAGAATGAACAGTTGGTGTTAGATCACATCAAGTATAATATGAGTTTTTACACATAACTTTACCTAAAGAATCTTGCGTATACTTTTGCATTAGATTTTTTTGTAGTATTATTAATTTCCCATTGCACATAAATCTGTAAATTTACCTTCTTTTTTTTTTTTTTTACTATACTATACTGTACATTTTTATTTTTATTTATTTATTTTTTTATCCCTAATTCAACATATCCAAATCTGTGATTCACAGCTAAAACTAGTTTACCTCAACACAAACAGCACAGTGACGCTAGGTGGGTGAGACTGCTGCTCAGTATGGCCTTTGGCTGGTTAATGAGATAGAACATTTGGTCGGTTCTGATCCGGCTGTTTTATTATGTGAGCGGACAACTGCAGAACCCATTTAGCAGCCAAATACCTGTGGCTTTGATTTTGACAGAGCTGCCTGCTTGTCCTCTGTGTCTCTCTTGCATAATCAATCAAAGCCTGAATTGGAGGAGAGGACACAGTAATCAGACAACACTTCAGCATGTGGGAAATAGACACGTAAAAGTTTTGCTTCAGTTGTCAGATTTAAAGGAGCTATAGATGGGCTGACTTGACAGATATTTTGTCAAAAAATCCTGTTTACAATTGAAAGACAGTGAAAAGAGCATGGTGTTTGTCTCTACACAATGATTTTGTGTGCGTGGTTGACAGTTTTTGCCAGACACGCTGTCTTTACTGTCAGGTGGTTGAATCAAGTGACAGTAGAATTTCAGAAAGTGTTCAAAAAAACAAAACAAAAACTCAAAGTCGGCCCCCTCGAGTCTCGTGTGCAAATACAGTTGTACAAATGGCTTTTAGGAGCCACATCAAATGTGTGCAAAGACAGATATTTGACCTTCTGTGCTGAGACATTCAAAACTAGAAGCCTTGTCTTTTTATACTTTATCTTTGTCTTGACATCTCTTTAGTCTTTGTGACATCTGGGACATCAAACTGAGGCAGGGAAGAGACTTGAGTAATTTGCATGCTTAAGCCAAGGCGTCAGTCAAATATACCCCAGAGCCATCCTACTGTACTTCCACATATGATCCATATCACTGAATAATTCTTTCTTTAGTCGACATCAGCAGAAAATACTAGTTGTTTTAGATCACTATTTCATGGAAGATGAATAACTTAACATGCATTTTGTAAACCCGGTTTATCAAGAGTTGGTGACATATAGCATAAAAGAAAACTGTAAAATGTACATGGGTGTATATATACAGTCATCAAATCATGTGACTGTAAGGTACTGACTGACTGAAGACCGTCAGCTCTATGGGTGATATGGATATGTACATTATACTGTGTGTATATATATATATAATGATATTACAGCAATACTTTGTAACCACAAAATAATCAAAATACTACTAATTCTTGTGAAGATGGCACATGATTTTCTGTTTTTGTTTTCTATCACAGTTTCTAATTGATATTATAAAAATTGTTAAATTATACGTCTGCCAGATGATGATAAAACTGACTAAACTTTCAAATTCAATCTGAACAACCCAAGTTAGCAACACACTGCCTTATAGCCATTTTGTGAAAAATGCTCTCTCCTTTTTTAAAATTTTAAAAATTATTTTAGTTTTTAAATAATTTGCAGGGTAATAAGCCCCTGAAACACAGATGTAATCCCAACACTACATGTTACCCTAGCCGTCATGCTTATATTACAAGTGTAGTGACAGGACACTTCGATCCAGGCACCGTTTGGCAAGTCCCAACCTGTATAATACAACTAGAACGTCGCATCCCCTCTGCATGCCAAAGTGTCCTTGGCCATGACACTAAACCCCAAGTTGCTCCCAATGCCAGGCAGGCACCATGTATGGCAGCTCTGTTGCCATTGGTGTATTTATGAATGGGTGAATTCTAAGTACATTTATTACCACTAATGTAGAAAGGCACTGTATAAGTGCATTTACAAAATCTCTCCTATTAAGGTGACCTCAGGAGGAATGCTGGACTGGAATGATATCACCAAATCCAGTAAAAAGTCTTTGGTAAATATAAGATCTGTGTAGCTGGAGAGGTTTTCAGGGCTTTGAGCATTCACTACCAAGTGAGGCTTGATGTAATGAAAGGCAGGGCTGAGTGTGGATAGAGATGAGTCAAAGGTGCCTTCAGACATTCAGAGATCTTCAGAGTATCAGCAAAAACATCATTTCCAAAGTATTTGTGTAGCTGTGTGAGCTCAGCCTGAATCAAAGGTACCCTTAAGAGTTTTTCTATACGCAAGGTTAGGGTTAATTAGCATTTAACATGGTGTCATTTGAAGTCAGGGTAGAGATTAAAAAATGTTTTCGAAATATGAACATAAGTTCAAATTATACTTTAATGGCCCGGAGGGGGGTTGATTTCCCTTTGTCTAGATGGTGCCTATGCAAATAGGTAGCAGAGCTGAACACTCTGGGGGGCTTTGCAGGAGTAATCGGCTGCTGGTGCTTCTGCAGGATGACTGATGATGGGCAGCAGCTTAGAGTTGGCAGGACCGAAAGGGACACAGTGGCACAGAGAGTACTGGACATGTCGCTAGTGATTACATTCTGCTACAGAAAAGGTCAGGGGTCAGACTAGAGTTTGCGCCGGCAGCCCCCCTGCACCAAACTGACTGTATAGCCAACACTGTACAATGTCATCTACTTATGATGCTCCAGGTTAGCTCTGCAGCCCCACGTTCACACCGTCACCGCTACTCAGTATTTGAAAATCAAACTCACTTCCCTCACTGCATCTACTGCGCTCACCTGTGTAGCCGAAAGCGTTCCCTGGAGATAACAGATGCAAAGTCAGATTTCAGGGACGTAATTTGTATTCCGGCATTAGTCACAGCAAATCACCTCAGTTTTACATGCAACAATTAGTCAGTATGAAGATTCTTGGACTCTTGGTTGGCAAAAACAAGACATTTGCAGACACCATCTTCAATCAACGGGAAGCAGACATTTTTCCACTGTGTTTAAATATTTTAAAATGCAAAGTTAATTCGTAAAATAATCAGCAAATTTACTGATAGCAAAAATAATTCTTAGTTGCAGCTCAAGCCTGTTTTATGAATAATACAGTTACAGTAAACATTCATATCTCTGAGGAACATATTCAGTTTTGAGGCAAAGAAACAGAAACAAAAGCTGCTCACTTCGGGACCACGCTTTCCAGTAAAAAAATGAATAAATAAATAAAAAATGGCAAAATTAACCTTAACAGTTTAAAACTGAGGTTAAGAATCTGCAGTGTTACTTACGGTGTGATTTCACCTGAGTAATTCACATATGAAGGGATTTAAACCTTTAAAAAAAATAACAGAAAGTACTACTTTACCTGACTATGATACATATTAAGGCAGAGACCCTACAGTGACATTAATAATGGAGAACATCCTACCTAATGTAATAACATCGCTAAAACCCTACGGTGTTATAAATTATGGAACTAAACCTAACTAATATAAATATTAAGCCTCAGACTCTACAGCATTTTTAATTATGGAGTTTAACCTTACTCATTTAGAGCTAAAATTATGACCCCACAGAAACATACAGTGCAAAAGCAATACAACTAATTAAGCAGAAGGCAGTTGTCTGTTTCTGGCCTTTTTTTGTTGTTGTTTTGCTCGCTTGTTTCCGCCACATGTCACCATTTAATGTATTTAAAATCATGAAGTATTATCATGTTGAATTAAACAGATCCAAGTGTAGGTTCAAACTGAAACACACAAGGCAAGGATGCTTTAGCAACAAGCAACCGATGTAGCTCTCATCTCTCAAACATTCTTTTATTTTTATTTTTTTACACTCTGCTTTTTCCTAACTTTAAAAAAAAGCATATTTGAGAGACTGAGTTGCTTGTCTGCTCACATGGAAATGCTTCAAGTAGTTCACAAAATGAGATTCAAAGAGCAAGGGCCACTTTCGCATCAGTTTAAATAAACCCCCTTGGAAGCTTGTGGATATGCTTGAAGAGAGAGACTCACCATCCTCTCGAGACTTTTGAATAAACGCATCAACGCCACTTTCTCCGTAGTTTCCCTCAGATGCCACAGTGGAGACGTAGTTCCAGCGCATGGCTTTGACGATGTCCACCATGGCCTGAGCCTGGTAGGTGTCTGGAGGCACCACGCGGGAGAAGAAGTCGTAGCGAGTGTTGTCGCTCAGCTCCGGGGCTGTGGAGGCGTAGCTCACCTGAGGGATCTATGAGAGAGGAAGAGGAGAGGCAAGACACACAAATGGTTACATGTGGTGAAATATAGTAATATACCTTCTGTCATTTTATGATACAGTCTACACAGGGAGAAGGTTAACAAGAAAAAAGCAGCATTACAATGTGACACTTAACATCTGGTGAAAACTCAACCACTCCGTGGTGGCTATTCAATCTTTACACGTCTGCTTTAAATAGCTCGGATGATAACAATATCAGCTGCAATACTTTCTGAGAAGTGTCTTTCACAGCCGCACTAATCTGGTCAGAAATTCCCACTCATCTCTATCATAATGTGAGTTTTTGTTTTGTCTTGAAAAAGCACAAAAACGATCGGCCTCCAGAGCTGAAATAATACCTTCTGATCTTGCCCACAAAGACATTACTGTTTATAGGAAAAAATACTATAATCTTCTTGTGTTACGTATTTCAGGGATAGCTCAATAAACGCAAGATAATAGAAGGTAAGTCAAACTTATTGTACTGATGAAAACTCACTTGGATAATCTTGAGATCGCGATTAAAGGAAGCGACAACATCTTAAGCTGACAAATGCAACTTTGAGAATTCTGCTCATCTCTCCATGCAGCTGTTCTGAAAGGTTTAACTCGGTCTGTTCTTAGTTTCACCACAGATGTCTTCCCACTGCCTCCAGCAGGAAACTCTTAGCCTCAACTTTTGCTTGCTCAAGTTATTCCAGATTTATGGCTGTCATAGCTTCTGTGATCTTCCTATGGCTTTGGTGCTGCACAGTTTGGAAGTTAACTGACCAGATTTAATGGCATTCAATAATGTGTTTCATGGTTTGACTTCAAATATGGACACACTTTTTATGCTGATGCATTTTTTGTGCTCTCGATGTGATAAATTCAGCCTGTAGATGCAAAGAGGCAGACTTTCGGCTACTTTCAGCCAGAATAGCATTTGACTGCAACGTCTAATGTGCAGCATTAGAGCAGAATACTTGTCCTTAGGCCAGTCCTGCTTTTTCAGAAGTCTTAATCAAAGAAACCATTTATCATTTAATCATAAAAACACAAAGCACTGCAAATAAAACACAAACAAAAGCATATAATGTTGACAAATCGATGAAAAGAAGGCTGCAAGGACGTACGGATTAGTTTTTTTTCAGTGAACATAATAACCAAAAAATTCCAAATAGTCAGATCCTTCCTGTGCTCTAAGGTGCGTGTTTTTCCGACTTATTTTAATAAAAACCGAATTGCAATAACCGTTTCTTTTCAAATTAGAAGGTAAAAATAGTTGTCTTTGACTGCGAGTTCTAATGATGACTGACAACTGAATGAAACGTCGTCTTTTCCAAATGCCGTTTGTCATGGCTCCTCAGCGTAGCTCTGGGGATTTTGGCAAATAGTGTCACCTTTGAGCATCTCTTCCGAGATGGAGGGATGTGTGGATGGAGGGATAAGCCGAACATGACACTGAACAACACTGAGAAACCTGCGGTATTTCAGAATAACATTAATTTGCAACTGCTTTGAAGATTTTTGACTGCGTGTCTGCTTTCTGTAAAACTTGATGGTGAGAATAGCACGACTTGGATGCTTTAGTTTTTCCTGCCTACCCACTCACAGTCCTTACATCCTGCAGTGCTACATAAAAGTAAACTTCGCCAACTGCAAGTCCTGCTTTACCAATATTTGCTTCACTAACTGCTGAGAGGGACTGCTGCGGGAGAGATACTGTCCCTTCCTCTCTCGTTTGCTTCACACAGCAGAGGCCTTTAATGTGGTCAGCTGCAACGCCGCACTGATCCGGCTACTACTGTGCTCCCTGTTTGTCGCTGCACCCAGAGTCGGGAGCACAGCTGTTCAATCTGTAGCCATGACCTATAGTTCCTAACAGCTCATCTAACTCTACGCTGGCTTTCATTTTTTTGCTGCAAGAATCCAGGGAGTAAAGCCACAACAGGGGCCAGAAATTGCTGAACTTGTAATGAATCAAGAAATGTAGAATATATTCTTTTTTGAACGTGCTGAGGTTAGGCATCAACATGGGCTTTGGTTTTATAGGTAAAGACATGTGATGCAGCAAACATGCCAGTTAACAGCTGTCTTGTTAACCTGGTTTTCTTTCAAAGAAAAGGAGAGACAGAAAAAATCTGCGTGTGCTGCGTGTGGACTTCACTCATGTTGCATGTCAGCCTTGTGGAATTTATTTGTCCACACAGCATCTCTGTGTCAGTCATCTTGAGCTGAACTTGAATATCTTGTACAAATTGCACATCCTCTTGATCAGTGAGCGCCGGGTGACATCGAAACTGACGTGCTTCATGCACGTGATCCTCTAGGATGCTCTCAAAGGCCACAGCAGGGTCTGAGGCGTATGCTGAGTCTACACCCAGCAGCCCTACGTAAGTTTATTCACTTTATGTCTGCTTTGATAGGAGACAGGACTGTTGCGTTTCTTTCCCTTTTGGAAGTGAAAACAGTGTGAAGCTTGTTTTTTTTTTTTTTTTTCATCACACTGCTTTGACGTCACAGGGTGGAATGCAGCAGGATGCAAGTGAAGTGTTGCGCAAAGGTGTTGGGAAGGTGTTAATGATGTCCTATTTTAGACATTTTCACTGTTCTAGCATACAGTGAAAATGAACCTCTTACCCGTTGGCACCTACGGCTCACTCTTCGAGTTTCGTGTCAGAGGAGGAGATGTTGTTGCATTTGTTAGATTTGCAAGGAGCCTACATCTTTTCGCAAGGCGACAGCACGTGTGTAAAACCGCCTCAAACTCACTCCAGTGATCCTCTCCCTCAAACTCTCCTCCAATAGGTTTCCTAGACACAGCTAACATCCCTGCTGACATTTATGACTGCACCCAAGGGTGGAACAATAAGGCGAAAACATCTTATTGCTATTTTTTCTGACAAATATTGGGATTTGATTTGTGACATAATCTTTTTAAAGTCAGGCTGCAGGTCAGTATTCACAGTGTAATCGATTTAAAGCATATGACAGAGCATTACCACATTAAAAGTGTGATTTCCCACAAAAAGGATGGTATTGTTTGTAGAACCGTTGACACACCCGTTTAAATCCAGGGTCAGATGTGCTGCAGAACATATTCTCAACTGCAGCCTTTGCAGGAAAAAATAAATAAATCCTGCAGTCCTCCACAAAAAATAAATTCTAAGCAAATGTTTTCCCTCTGATTTTAAATATCCCTCCTTCTTTGTGTTTTTAATTCTGCTGCTGTCATGTATTGTGGTGCTGTCGTGACATGTCTAGTCCCCATATCTGCCAAATAAGTGGGAGCTGTGTTGTATTTTTCACCTGAGGGATTTTCACTGATGTAACAATCACACAATTTCAGCTTTTTGTCAAGAAGCGGGACAGGCAGAGCTTATCATTTGTTTGTTTTGCCGAGATTTCTTGCTCACTGGACTACAGCAGTGGTCCTGAACAGCGTGCTTCCTCTAATAGAACACAGTCACTTCTGAGTATTGACTCAAGAAATTAAATTCTTCAGCAACGGGCCCGGTTTGATCTACTTCGGGAGAATCAAAAGAAACAGGGATTGGGAGAAAAAATAAAGACGTAGCGTTGTTGTGACTCGGCAGGGGTTTGATGTATGAAAACTGCACCGAGCAACGGAATTCAGGGTCGCAGATTCACTGACAAAGATCCTGGTAGGTTGTTCAAAAGTGACTCCCTTTTTTAGTGATTTTGTGCACACTTATCGTCTTTTCAGGCTGTAACTAATGCAGCAGAACTTCCTATCCACTGATGTGAGCTTTTGTGTGCCTTATGGCCCCTCTCCCCAAGTTTATAGAACTCTTTTAATCTGCACACCCCCGACTCCAGCACTATCCATTTAATTTCTAATGGGCTCGGGAAATACGCTTAATTGCTGTGATGTGAGTCTCGAGCAGATATTTGATGCAGATTTAATGTTCAAATCACTTGCTTTAAATAACTGTGCCTTTTTAAAAATTCAACGAGCTCATTTGAACTGCATCAATGCAGGAGTAATGATGCTCATTAGAACTGTACAGAAATATTATACATCTGCAGTGTTTGCTGGTGGAAGAAAAATCAAAAGCTTGAGTCGGGCTTTGGAAATGTTTCAGTAAATACTTCCTGCAAAAAAAAAAGAAATGCTAGCAGTATATTTTTAAGCTATGAAAACAAAAAAGAAAGTTCTACATGAACTAACTTGTGTGTCCTTGCTTGTTAGTCTTACTGACAGGTACACAGGACTGCTGCTGCTGTGTGGGAGGTCCTGGTGTGTCATTGTAATCTACTGTAAAGTCGTAAAAAAAACTATTTGAATGTAAAATGTGAGAAAAGCTGTGGATGTAGTTCGGGAGTGACTGATTTCTGGATATGTTTTGTCCCACTCACAGCAACATCTGATTGGTCACATAATAAGCAATGACTTTTTATTTAAAATTTAAATTAACTTTAAATTAAACACAACATAAAACATAATTAAACAGAGGCATTTCAACAAAGTTTTGCATTGGAGTTTGTGTCATTCTACATTTTGACGGGTTTTCAATTGTAACATACGAGGTGTGTCAGAAAAGTTTTAGGACTGGTGTCACAAAAGATATATTTCAAATCCAAACTACAAGTGTTCCCCTTTGAAGTAATCCCCCTGGAGTCTAATACACTTTCCCAGCCTTCTCTGCCACGCCGCCATGCACTCCTGGAAGGATTCTTCTGGGATCCTCCTCAGCTCCGTCGTCACAGCCATCTTGATGTCGTCCACGTCTTCAAACGGGTCCCCTTGATGACTCCCTTGAGTTTGTGGAAGAGGAAAAAAATCCCAGAGAGCCAGGTGGCGTGAGGTTGCACGGCGATGTTCTTCTCAGACAGGAACTGTCGGATGCTCACGGCATTGTGAGCAAGCGTGTTGTCATGGTGAAGCAGCCACAACTTGTCCTGCCAAAACTCTTGGCTCTTTACTGAGCAAAGCAAATGCCGCAGGATCTCTTTGTAGACGTGCTGGTTGATCGTCTGAAGGGGAA